GTGTGTGTGTCAGGCCTATCTTAAAACAATATCACATATTTGACTGTTTTCCCGGGGCTCATTAGAAATGCTGCTTTACTGCTGTCACAGAGCCTTCGTGCTTTCCTGTTTTCGCACCTTATAAACAGTTGAGGCTGTGATCGAGGTTTATTGCAGGAGGGCATCCAGTCTAGTTTGTAGGGCGCTAAAAGACCGAAGATGTCCTAAAAGATAGTGCATTTATATATGGAAGGATTTAGATAATAATTGAGTAGAAAGTATCTTTAAACGCTAAAATGGGTTTCGCTGTTGTTTAATTTGCCCTGACTCTTTCGTGACTTTGTATTTGAATTGTGCCTGCGCTGTGTGTTGGTTCCACTATAGTCTATACTGTCGTTTCTATCTATGTAAACACATTTAAATCTAAGGATACAAGCTTTTTCAAATATAATTTCCATTTTCAAATATTGTTTAAACAGGAGGCTCTTTAAAAAGGACAATGTGTGTATTAATCTAAAGTTATTGACCATGTTACAATCGAATGAAAATCCCTGTCTTATTTTCCAAATATTATTATTTTGATTTATAAATATTATCATAAGAAACTTACTAATACTTTAGGCCGGTAAGGTTGCAAAAAACACATTTCTGAGAGAAACTATTTGTACAGGCCTCAGGATTGTCTTTTTCTGTGGGTAATAGTTGGAATGGTTACAAGAGAGAAGAAGTATACTATGAAAACTATTTCATATTTTTTCATCTTGAAATAAATTGTTTTAGTTCAATTAATTTTCAATTAAATAAGTAAAAATACTTATTCTGTGAAAATAGTTTAAAATTTCTTGTGGTGAACACGGCAGTAAAATGTGCTTACAAAATAAATAAAGGAATTAAGAAGGAATAGAGAACGAAAAATAGTATTTTTCAGTACAATATTCTTTATAGTCTATATTTAGTTTAAATGTGCTGTAAATACGCAGTGTGTTTCAATGTTAAACGCAAAATGATACCAAATGAATAAGTCATAATTACTTTCTGTGCTATACACAAACTACTTTTTATTTTTGCATGAAACAAGGAACGGATGAGGTATTTGAAGTGTGCACACATGGAACAAAACAGACGGATATAAAACATCTAGATTGCAAAAACAATAACTTAAACAATGCAAATAGGTAGCTGAAATACATTCAGGTAGTCAAGGATCATTTCATGCAAATAACAAACGGCCTACTCACTATTTCTGTGCGTCAAATACAACACATCTAAACTCTGACGAGACACTTTGTCCTCTCACAAACATGAAACACTGGACACCATAGTAAACAATAACATCCAGCATTGTTTAACTACACAAACTTTACAACAACATGTGTAACAGGTCAGGAATATTAAAGACAGACTCCCCCTCTCCCCCCTCCTCCCCTCTCTAATCCAGCATCAGTCCAAAGTTAACTGTCTCTCTGCCGGTCTTTGTTGTCTTTCTTCATCTTCATCCTGCGGTTCTGAAACCAGATTTTCACCTGTCTCTCGGTCAAACTCAGGGCTCTCGCTATTTCGTATCTACGATCCCGGGGGAGGTACATGTTAAACAGAAACTCCTTTTCCAGTTCGAGGATTTGGTACTTTGTATATGGACAACGCTTTTTTCTGGTGGGCTTTGCATGAAGCCAGTTGGACGATGGGTTATCTGGAAACAGGGGGGTCAAAACCGAGAGACAGGAGAGTTACTCTCAGAATACTCAAAAACAGGACTGCTCCTGTGGATTAATAGTTTGATAAATACATGCTACACCCGACAAGATTATTGAAATAGGAACAATCTTTGGTTATTCAACATGAGGATAGAGCATCACATGACATTATTTATTCCTATGAATGATGATGCAGTGAGGGGTGACCATCCCATTGGAGAATAGTCTTATCTCATTTCACAAAAGACCATGTCATTCCATTAAACCATTACATCTCTTTGAAACACTATCAAATATATCCATGTTTATAAATGACGTCCCAAAAACAATCTCCCAATTTCCAAGCCACTAACACCACTTTCATTCACCTAAATGAGTTCATAGAGTAAGGAGAATAGAATAGAAACTGCATTGCTTACTTGCTTCTATCTCCCTCTTGAGATCGTCCTCTGCTGACGGGCTCCTTGCAGTGGCTTTAGACGTGGATGTGGTTTGGCAGGGAATCTCCACAAGGGACGCTCCGTTTTCAATGTCAGACAAAAGAGGTGTGTGCGTCTCCAAAGTTGTACATTCAGCACTTCCAATCCGAGGCTCGGGTTTTATCTCATAATGCATGGCCGTCGACGGTAATCCCGTCAAACACAGGGACGCAGAGACCGGATCCAACGCCCAGGAGCGCGTAAACATACCATCGCTGTCCCCGTTGGTGTAGTGGTGGTGTATATAGGTTGGAGTGGCTGTGTTCGGAGGGTGGGTCGAGATGGGACTCCAAGATCCACCAAAAATAGAAGATTTCGCCTGCAAAGGGCAAGATTCCTGTCCGCCATATTCGGTGAGCATCGCCTGCTCCACCCCTGCAGCTGACGAGTACCTCGGTGCCATATCTTCCTGCTCGGGAAGAACAGGAGCCTCAATGTAATAGCTCGTTCCCAACGTCGACATCGCAGAAATGCAAAAGCCCAAAAATATATATAAACCGCGTTTACAGGCTTGCAATGTTCAGATCATTCAGATTCATTGCACATAAAGAGCTGCTTTCCTGCACCAGCTAGGGGCTCAATGCGTCCGGTAAATTGAACCTTGCCCAAGACTGGATAGGGCGCCCCAGACACGTGACCGTGGGACAGAACAATAAATAATAAATCAGCCTGCTGCTCAACTAAATGGCCACCATTTTCCCCACCATATTTTAATAGCAAGTCCGCGCTTCTTTATTGGCAAATATTTCGTTTTATAAGCAATAAACGTTATGATTTCTGCCAAGAAGTCTTATGGTGGTGTAATCGAACATAGTTGAGATAGAAATGAGGGGGGTGATTTAAAATCCTCCATTTGCGAAATCACCAAACAACCTCCATTTCAAAATGTGCTTTATGGGATTATTTATTATATGGAATTGATATTAGTTTATTGGCCTCCATCTTTAAAGCTCTCACTTTGGTAGACGTTACTAGTTCTTGTTAGTGGTTTGTGTATAACACATTTCAATACTTTTTTAATTAAATAAAACAAGCAGAAATGTGTTTAAAACATCATTTGAGTTTAGAATATCAAAAAGCATTAAGAGACAGCTTCCGAGATGCGCATCGCTGGGTCTGCAGGGTTATGGGTCTACTTTAAAGGCAATCTAAAACGGAAAGTAGGGTGGGTTATTTGGGTGCTATATAACAGTCCTTTTTATCACGGGCAATTGGGTTGTTTTTCTTTGGGTTACAACCTGGCTGTCTAAGCTAAATATCACCAATAAAGCTAAGCCTTTGTGTCCTTTCTCTGGAGCTAGCAGACGCATCCGGCATTTCCTACGGCGAGGCAACTGGCAGACTGCAATGATCATAACCGAGGCCTTGTCTGTCCTTTCCGCCTCTCCTGGACACTGACAAGCCATAATCCTTTCATTTCACAGCTTGCATCTTTACTTTCGCCTGTTGGATCACATAGAGACGCTCAAAATCTTTTGCTAGGGTAGTTTTAAATCACAGACATGGTAATAAAAAAGGTTGTATCTAGATTAAATGTAACATACCTTGAGATACATAAGAGAAATTGGCTTTATAATGAAAACCCACAAGATAAAACGCATAGTAAAAGTTCATTTTACGCACAACAATAAAACACTTTATTGCACTTTTTTTCCAAATTATATTGTGATTTGAAGCAGTCTGTGAAAAATGATTAACACAAATCGACGAGTAATTATAAGGGACTCACTTTTCATGATGCGACGAGTTTTTACTGTGGTAATCAAGACAGTTTCGTGTTGTGGGAGAAATATAAAAGCCCAACAACATGAGACTACCTAAACCACTCAACAGCCCGCTCTTCTCTTCAGCAATATCTCTTATGTGTGTTGAAGACATTATGTAGTTTCTCAGTATGGCAGGATTAACTGTTTTTTTGTGGAAATATTTAAAGGCGAAAAGAAGATTTTAATCGTGATCTAACGAGTGCGGCAATTCACAAACAGGGATTAGTTTTGCTGCTTCAGTCCAAGGCAGTCCACATGCGTCGCTACCCAAACCTTCAAATGAAGAATTTTACCTTTGTAATTGTTTGACCTTTTTTTTGCAACAAGGCCCCACTTTTTAAAAAGATAAAACAATTCTGAAATACATTTTTTTTTAAACAACACTGTTCCTCCATTCGTTGTGTAGTTTAACATGAAGTCTGATGTCAAGGACAAAAGGCAATGCGATGTTCACAGACGCCAGACTTCAATTAAAGGCTATATGAAAAACATCACCCTCTACTGTAAGGATATTTACTGCACACAGACCGGACACTTTCCAAAACACAAAGGCATTAGCACCATGCACTCTACCTGTGCCAACTTTAAGATTTAAACAAAGCGCAGCTCCTAGCATGTCCTTCATGAATGAAATAAGAAGTCTGCAGTTGCAGGGATGGTTTTATTAATTTTACCAGAAATAAATGTGCAAATATTCATCAGACCTCTTGGGCTCTTTAGTTGGCACATAAAGGTACATGTAACTGTAACACAAGTGTCCCAAGGGTTAGTCCAGCATGCAAATTCCAATGGTTCACTCAGGTTGACTATACACTATGTACACGCCTGAAACTCTGAAACATTGTGGTCACATTCTGAACATTTTTAAACACAATGGATCAACGTTACAAATGTAGCCATTTATAAATACATATCCACGACAAAAAAAATAAAACAGACGTGAAAACAAGAAAGAACAACAATCAATAAGTTAGCAGTAGGGTCCTTGTTTCCATGGACATTCTCACAGTAGGGTTGGGAAGGGGGGGCTCTGCAGGCGCCCTTGCCATGGATGGAGGAGGGCGCCAAAGACGCAGACAGTCTCATGAGAAACTGAAGTTGCCTGAGAGCTCTCGGATCCTATTCTCCCGGCTCATTTTTTTCAGTTTCATCCTCCTGTTTTGGAACCAGATTTTGACTTGCCTGTCAGAGAGGTGCACACCGCGGCTGATCTCCAGACGACGCTCTCTTGTCAAGTACATGTTGAAGAGAAACTCCTTCTCCAGCTCCAGAGTCTGGTGCTTGGTGTAGGGGCAGCGCTTCTTTCGACCACTCTTAGCTGTGAGCCAATTAGCCGTGGTTGCCATTTTTCCATCTCCTACAATTAAAATGAAACAGGGCATTAGGCAACAGGTGTATATTAACTCACGTCGTAGAAAAAAACCCTTATAGCTCTGTAGAAATGATGGACCAACACAAATCAAATACAAAACAAAGAAGTCAAAGTTATAAAATAGTTTTAACTACAACAGGACATTTGGAATATAATTTTCTTCTGTTAAATTGACACCTATACATGTCTGTGTAATTACTGGTTTCTGTGTTAGCTCTAATTTTTACAACCATTTTACGCACAGCCACATCTCTGTAGATATCTATACAGCTGCAATTCAGCATTTTACCAGAAACTATCTGCCCCGTTAAGCAGCCTGTACTGCTCTTTATTAAGACATAAAACATATCCTGCACAGACTGCTGAAATTATAGAAAGGCTTGCCTTTGATGAGGGGACAACTGACAACTATGTCCTGCACAGGACAAATGGTCTAGACTGGTTTGTCCTTAGCAATGATAATGAAACCCTGACGATATTTAAAAACACAATAACAATTAATGCTATTTTTAATAATCTACATTTCTTTGGTGGCTGTTTGAATAGCACAGTAATAAACTGCACAGCCTGTTTGTGATCTAAAAACAGTTAATAAAGCACAATGGATCTGCTCCGCGGCTCTGATTTGTTAAGTCACGTTCAATTTCGTCTCATACCCGATAAACCAGTACCCGTTAAGCACACTTGTGAATGGCAGGCATTGACCTACATGTTAATACACGAACAGACTATCAGTACTCAGGCTCATGCATTCCTCTGAGGTCAGAAATCATTGGTTAAAAAAACAATGGAAGCCTACTTATAAGCCCACTTGGCGTGTGCATTTTTTGCAACATATGTCTACATTGTATCACAACTCTTCACCTTTTACTGGCTTTTCCGGACACTCAGTACTGCACGTCTCCTCGGGCTCAGGGGAGGAGGAGATATCCGAGGAGAGGCGGCTGTCCTCGTCTCTGGCCGGGGCGCAGGGCGCGGGGACAGGCGCCTCCTCGTGGCTCTCCCTCCGCTCCGGCTCAGCAGAGGCAGCCTGGGGCCGGGAGGGCTGGCTGTCCAGGCGGACAGGACGCTGCAGAGTAAAGTGATTCATGTTTGGCTGGACATCATGGTAAAGCCTAGAGGACGCGTATGTCTGAGACAGGCGGAAGTAGCCGGGGACTGGCAAAGTGCTGCCGGTAACCGGGCATGATGCGGTTGAGTAGTCATCTACTGTGGCTCCTTTTGGACATTTGTCAGACTCATAGAGGCAATAAGCGCTCTCCTCTTTTATATTCGGTGAGAATGAACACTGTGGCATATGCTGGCTGCTGGGCTGATCCACCCGGCAGGATCTAGACGTTTCCAGCCACGTTTCCATCCCCTGAACATACGGGGCAGAAGACGGGATCACGCTTTGGGTGCTTGGCTCGTTGCGCTTACCGATTCCCGGGAAACACGAGCCTCCGGAGAGTCCATATGAATATTCCGACGCTGGTGGCAAATAGACCCCGTTACTTTGGTAATATGAACCGCTGTCGGTTCTCACGTTAATTAAAGAGTCCACGAAAAACGAATTTCCAGCTTGGTTGTTGGGGCATGTCATCGTTGTGGTATAATTTGACGGAGGATGAAGATAGCCCTTTCTGGCTGACATTTCTTGTTCAAAACATTGCTGAATAATTACTGATACTCACGCTTCTCACTGTAGCCTGCAGCCAATTAAAACACCAGGCGACTACAGACTCCTCCCAGTCCGGCCAGGCAGCTCCACTGTGTCGTATATTTTGTTTTAGGCTACGTAAGAAAGAAACTGTGGAGGGAAAGTGGTGCAGCAGAGGGTTTTAGGTAAAATCTTTAAATCTCCCTTGAATCTCACTTTCGGTGCCTCGATTCCCAGCTATAAGCCCAGAGCTGCATGTGTGAACTTAACAACAACTCCCTGTTTGACAACTCAGTTGTTTAAAGCTGTTCCTAACAATTATGTACAATGCATAGCTTTATGGCCAGTTTTACAGCACTGTAAAAATGAAGGGTTCTAGAGGTGCCTCTGAGAAGCGCAGGGTGCATCAAAGATCCAAAAGTCCTGTGTGACCCTTTGGTCCAGGGACACTTAACCTACTCTGATGAATATTATTGGATTGTTTGGACTTAAGATTCCTTATGGTCTGTCTAAAAGCAGTTCACACAGTTTCATCTCGCCACGTTGCTGGCCAAACCAGAGGAAACTCACTTCCTTTAGAGCACGGGAGCTCATCATTGTGGTGTGAATTGTGGGTGCAAATGTCATGATTGCGTCCAGACACCTTAAACTGAGAAAGCTGTGTCGAGCATGTACAGAGGTGACATGCAGGCACACTGAAGGGACCGCCTTGGCTATACAATGCCCTGGAGCTAGCTTTTTCTTGATAGTCCTGCCACACAATATTGGCAAGACTTCAAGACGTGTATATCATACTAAATGCATAACATTAGAACAAGTTCATCTGTTGCCCCTTTTTCCACTGGGACTGTTTATTGAGAAACGCACGAACGCTGCGAGGCCTATACACAGAATCACCATTTTCTAAATTAAAGAGGTTTAATTTAAAATATTTAAAATTAAAAACACCTGCCAAAAGGCCTACATTTTAAACATATAAATGAAAAGCTCGAAGCACATTTTTTAACTCGTGTTGAATTCGTTTTTAATACAAATAAATATCTTTGTTCATCTCTTTATAGTTTGTTTTCTTTGTTTAATGAAATGTTTGACAAAACAAGCCTACATATGAGAATAATATAACGAAATTTGAATGTAATTGGGCCTAATATTAAATAGTAGACATTGCAAGTCCTTGAAATAAACAAATCTTACATGGATTACTTTGTAATACGAGTAACAAATAGATAAAAAGTTGGTCTTCATTATATTAAGAAAAAAACGTGTAGGCATTAACACAAATAGTCAGCCTGGAATGCTATAACAATTTTAATTAAAAAAAAAAAATAAAATAAAAAATCAACCCATGCTTCCTTATAAGACCTTCAAAAGGTTTAGGAGTTTACAACACAGGCCTACAGATTTAAATCCGCGTAAAGATGTCTCCAAATGTGGGGGAAATACAACATCGTCTACCTCCATTTTCCTATAAGCCTGGAGCCATAAAGTCTAGATATCAGAGTTTATGTACAGCCGTTTTATATGGCGTGAAACCTGCAGCATGTCGGGCTGCAATGGAGGATAATAATCATAAACCCTCATGGATTGTTTGAAGTATCAGTTTGCGCTGCTCTTGTATTATATTCCCATAAAACTTGTATTTGTATTAATTCAATTCATTTAGTTTAAGAAACGTAAAAAATAAATAATGAAAATATCTATATGTTGGTCTCACCAGCGTGCGCAATGACACACAACAAGCTGCATCCTTAAAGTGAATTTATGGTTCTAAATTTCACAGGTTTAAAATAGTTTGTTTACATGACAACAAAACAACATTAATCCAATTTGTGATTGAGAAAATACAGTATAATTTAGGTTTGAAACTGTAAGGGGATTATACAATTTAGTGAGCCACAGAATACTTGGAACACAGGCCCTCGTGATCTTATTTCTGAGGGCGAATTACTATTACTTCAAACATGCAACCTGATAAATAGCCCTGGATCTAATGCTCAAAAAACAAACAAATGCATTATTTTCTTGAGGAAATGTGGACAGAAACTCTTTCATGACATCATAACATTTAGGCTACATATTGAGTTTATAGATAAAGTTGAGGTAGGACAAACAAGAAAAGCAGAGCCACCTCCTTGAATCACATTAGGAAAACCTCCGTGGTCATAACACGAACATGATAATATTTATGTACTTACCTTAAAAATGATATCGTGAGGTGGTGATGTATTTTAAAGCAGCTGAGCGGCGAGTCAAACTTATTTCATATCTCAATTCACGGCAATGACATTGATCTGAGGAGCGCCACCCAGTGGACGAAGACAGCTTGGCCTACACTGCAACACAACACACACGCAGAATATTCCTACCACGGTAAGATGCTGAAACAAATGACGCCGGAAAGGTCCGTGATCACAAGCTTTCAATGCTTCCAGCCGTTGTTTTTCAGCCCCTTAGTCACAGTTAATAACCTTGGTCTCAGACGCTTTATTGCACTACACTCCAAATGCTCCAGACGAATCCGCGTTTTATGGCCAAGTTACTGGAGCAACAGGGAGGATGTGCAGCAATCAAAGCGGAATTCCTGTGAGCCTCACAGGATGCACGGTATAAGAAGGCATCGGGACCCTTATTAGCTTATTGCAGGCCATTTAAGTTGTTTCCAGGGGGCTGGTGGCGGATACAATGCCACCTCAAGACAACTTTTACCCATCTGTTTATGTGAGCTTCTTTGACCTTCCTTTACAGTTTAACATAAATCCTGATGGCATAAATACATATTTGGAATGCGGCTGATGTGAAGTATTTGGATCAAACCACCACAATGAATAATTAATGACCATTCAGATTGACCTGATGATTATTATATTCATCTGGTGTTCGTCCACCCCTTTAGATGCCCCAATGTCACTGCGTGGTGGCCCAGCTGACTCTCAGGGAATTAAATGAATAAAGTCATTCAGCAACAACCGACTTTGATGAGAGCGTATATATGCACACAAATCAATTCATATTTTTTAGATGGATGCATTGCATTTATAGCCTATGCATTCAAACAAGTGTCAAGATTGTCTCAGTAAACCCAACAGGCATGTTAGGTCAGAAAGCAGCCTTTTCTAATCTCCCACGAAATGAATGAACCCTTTGTAATGGATATCAAACAATAACTGCAGCGGATCCCATTTCAAGCCATGAGGGAATAAAAAGCATCAGACCTATATCATGCAGCTGATACGATCCACGTGCTGGCATATAAAACAAAAAATGAGATTACGTTTCATTTGAGGGTTATGGTCTTTTATCATTAGTTTAACTTTTGGATGAAATTCCGGATTAATCCAACTTTATGGCCAAGAGCTCAACAAAGCGTCTCAGTTAAGGATCAAGCGCAGATGTTTAATTTTGTCGAAAATAATACTTAAATTGAATTAATTGGTATCAGATGATAACTCCAATTACTCCCTAACTATGAAACAATGACCGGAAATATTGGTTCAAGTTGATCATAACCAATGTTAGGTAAAGTCTAGTAAATCCAGAAAACACACAATAGCTTTATAATCACCGGAGTTGTATTTCCACAATACATTTAAAATCATAATAGAAAGAAGAAAACAGGAACAATATTTTAGAAGATTTCTGTCTGTAAAAGTTGTGCGTAAATCTGGAAAAACAATTTAAATGTATAACAATTTAGGGGGGGAAAAAAATCATGATTTTTCCTTCTTAAATTGCAGCAGAGTAATATCATTAAATAATACAAAGAAATGATCCGCTCAAGCAAACCACACACACTACCACATTACTCAAAAATTGTTGATTGGTCGGGCCAACCGAATGAAAGGACTATAATAATAATAATAATTATATTAATATTAATAATAATAGAGCCAACGGTGTTTAATGACAAAATAGTGTATAAATAGTGAAATTCTTTAGTAAGTCTGGCACATTCAAAACTCGCCATCCTGTAAAATGTGGACGTGTATGGTTGAGGAGTACATGTCAGCGAAAGTCTTTGTTCAGTGTTTATAGCAGGGGGTTTGTGGTGTAGTACTGTAAACGGTCTCTGTTGAGTTTCTTCTCCTTCATCCTCCTGTTCTGAAACCAGATTTTGACCTGGCGATCTGTCAGATTGAGCATCCGTGAGAGCTGCATGCGCTTCTCTTTGTTGATGTAAACGCTGAAAAAGAATTCCCTCTCCAGTTCCCTGATCTGATACTTTGAATATGGACACCTCTTCTTGCGTGTCCTCTGGCCACCTGAAAGAAAAACAAATAGAAAGGCAAAAGGTCACCACATGAGATTTAATAGACACATTACAACAACATGCAATCACAAGTCTATTTCCTGCTTGGAGTCAGCAGTGGTGGTCTACAAGAGCTTTGGAGGTCAAGTGTTTCTCCTCTCAGGCCTACAGGACCGAGATTTGTAAACAAAGACTGGGCTTGATAGTGGGACATGTTAGGCATGTCGGAAGTTGTGAAAACGTATTGAAATCTGTAAAACCATACCGGCTGCTTTCTGAGAGGTCGTGGGCCTAAACTAAACAGTCATGAGTATCGTGTATCTGATATGCTTGTATTGTCCGTTTGTGATTTCACTGTGCGTAAAGTGCTGTTGTTTTAGTGTTAGTGAGAGCAAGTTCCATGAAAAGCAGTTGTTGTAATAAATCCCCATTAATCCTGTGAATTTGCAAATATTTATATTTGAATAAGGAGCAGGGTTTAAGCCTAAATCTGCTACAAAGTCACATGCAAATGCATCAGCAGCCCATCAGTCAACACAGAATAAATCAAATAAGAAATCCCAAAATATTCACGTTAAAATGAATACATTATACATGGAAACAAATATGGGGGATTGAATGTGTTTTAAAAAGTTAGATTGTTATTTGAATTATGTTTTATAAATACTAACTGCCTTATAAATGAAGTTTACTGGCGCACAAAAAAAGTGGAGATCTTGTTGGAAATCTTGGAAGACAAGCTTAACGCCAAAGTCTTCACGGCCAATTTCAATCCCAAGCACGTGATCTTGTCGTTTATAACATAGTTTTGTTATAGGGGAAATCTGCAGGCCCTCCATAAACCTTACGTGCTTATAAAACAGCATATAAAAAGCTTTAAGAGCAACGCGTTAGATTTTTCTCCTTGTTGCGTTCAGCTGTGTACTCACTGCTGCCTTTGCTCTGTCTCTCCTCGCTGTGGCCGGAGGACGACTTGGGGCTGCAGCTCTCCCCGGAGTCCGAGTCAGGGTGATCCGGAGCGGGGCTTGTTTTGGCGGCGTGTCTGTCCGTGTCTGCTGCATGTGCTGTGGGCGTTGTGCTGCTCTCTGCGCTCGCATAGGCAGTGTCGAAGAACTGGTCAAAAGCCTGTGGCAGGACGCCGTTCCTGCCAACGCTGCCATAGAAGCCGTGCGTCGGGTTGGAGGAGCTGGAGTGGCTTGCGCAGGAGCTGCCTTTCACCAGGATCTCACCCCCCCTGGAGGTCGAGCTCGTCCAGCCGTCCCTGTGCACAATGTCCTCCGGGTAGCAGTGTGACAGGCTCCCCCTGCTGTGGTGCCATTTACTGGAAGTATCAAGTCCATAGTCTCTGAAAGCCACATCTCTGACGGACGGGACCTGTGGCAGTGCTGAGGACTGGTAGGGGTATATATTGGGGCAAGAGGACTGGCTTTGGGTTAAATAATGAGGGAGACCCGTAAAGTCTGCTCCGGAGACGTAGTAAGTGCAGCTCGGTAAATACATATTGGAGCTAGAGATCCGGTCATCAAAATCCATATTCTGCTGTTGGAAACGTCCTATAATAATCCTCGCATAGTTCCTCCACGGCGCTGCGCTCCAGTCACTTTGAGGCTGACTGGTGGAGCAGAAATCCTTAGACGTACAAGCTGACGTGGGGATCCATCTCTATCCATTCCTGAGGGCCAAAGCCATGTGACCACTGGCACAAAATGACAGATAGCCTACGCCTCAATGTGTAGGCTATACGAGTCAATGAGTTTATAAAGTAGACATTCGGCCGTATGGGAAAGGAAAAATACTGCCAATGCACTTTACTCAGACACAATTTAGGCGGTTTTGAACACATTTTAAACACGGGTTTTATTTAGTGTAAATCCTATAGGGTGATATGCTTGTGGACTTTTATTGTCAAATCGCTACATTACAAAGGAAAAACAAAACATGCAATTAGATCCAATTTCACGCCAAGATGCTTAACCTTCCATTTTCTTACCTTTAAATTCGTTTTCAATTCTAACCTAATCTTAACCCTAACCTTAACCTCTGACGCCTCACGCCTTTTAAAGACACGATTTACACTTTGCTATGTGGCTTTATCCTTGTGGCACAAATAACATTTAGGCTAAAATAGAGAACTTGGTCTGGCTTGAGGTCTTTTTTTAAGAAACAAGAGCACATGAGTCAATTGTATTGGAACATATTCTTATAAATTAAATCGGTAGGTTATGAATTCTTTGTCTCTCTCGCTGTGAATTTAATATCGCTCCCCTGGCTATAAATAGACAAATCTAGTCCACTGCAGTGGCGGAGCAATGCGAGTCATGCTGCACTTTTGTCAGGCATCCTTCCAGTTTGGCACCCGGGGACAAAAAGACAAAGGCCTTTAAAGACAGGCTTGGTTATCTCTTGTGGTTGCTATGGGCTTGTTTGGGCCAGCATTTTGGGGATCAGTGAAACATGCAAGCTCGTCTCAGTTGCAGACTTCACTGTGTCCAAATGTACTTTAATTGCATGCTGATTGTTACAGTTCTTACGCGTTAAAGTAGATACAAAGGGCCTGAAACAGCCTGCTCGAAGTTCATGTGAGGCTAATGCGTTTAGCTTAATGTAAACACATGATGTTGTTTATAGGCTACGAATAATAAAATGCATTTGCCAAAGGGGCTCCAGTCTTTGCATGGCCTTTTCTTTCATTGCAACGCCCAACATAAACCTTTAGACACGGGCTACTTCCCACACTGCCATCCATTTTCATTTGTCATCACTGCTGAGTAAGTGGACACACGTGTCACATACTGTATCTTTAATCCTGTTATGCGGCCACTTTTTAAATTAAGTTCAAAATCACTTTTTATACATCAAAGCCTTTGAATGTGTCATGTGCAGGGACGCATTAGGAGAATGCAATATTTCATTCTGCCCAGGTGGTTTGACTTCAACGGTGAGTTGTTACTTTGTGAAACAGTTATTCATGTGAAGATTAAAGTAATTTTACATGATAGACTTGACAATTCTATTTTCTTTCTTTTATGAATTACCCAGTCTCTCGAGCGAAGCGTCAGACCAAGGCTGCATGGCCAAGTTTGTCACATTCACTCTTCTACGTTTTACAGCACAGTTTTCAAACAGATTCAACCACAAAAAAATATTCGGTTACACGATTAAACCCGAGCCATTGGACGCATTCACCAAGTAATATAATTGAGACGTTTTCATTAGTATCGAGTAGCTAGCAAGCGTGTTGGAAGAATGTAAACAGAAAGCTGCTAAACCTTGACCTCCAGCCGGTTGTCATAAGAAAAACAAGTAATATACATTTCCTTATTTGTAGATCCACTTTGGAGAAGTAGCCCACACAATGATGAATCCATCTTATAAATTGTAATGAAATGATGGCTTAATACGTTGAACAAAAAGAGGTTAATTAAATCAACTTAAAAGACCAAAATATTTTGTTGATGTCATTTTCATTGCTTAGACGAAAGTCAAGGTTGTTTGATCGTTTCTTTTTAGCCTAGTATGGTTCAGGTTAAGTTTAAGTATGGAAAAAAACATTCGGCCTTACTGCACCAGACCTCAGAATAATGAATGTATGATATTTGTTTCAGTATGGCAGAAAGCAGAAGGTATACAAATAAATCCCGATCGAGCAGTCACTGATTGATGATGTGGCTTTTAAAAGAGAGCTAAAAGGGATTTGAAAAATAAAAACATGTTTTCCTGGGTTCCCTGAATTTTCCTTCAACACTTTGAGGACTGTGGTTTAATTTAACTGCCTGAAAATCTATGTGTGCCTTTTCTCGTTCCTGAGTCCATTTCACAAGGGGCCATTTTATAATATTTAGGTGAAATGTGCTTGCTAAAATCAACAGTTTAAAGACCCAATCTCTACAAGTATATTCATAGAATTTAAAAAGCTGAGCAGTCGATGAAAACACAACATTTGCCATTTAGTTGAATTATTGTAAGCATTACTGGTGTAAACAAAAGAAACATAACTAGTCATTTAAAACTAGTTGGATAAAAGGAGATGTAAATCAAGCATCACAGCAGGTTTCAGTTTATCGTTGTGGATTGAGGGGTGACTTTGTTAACATTTGTATCGTGGATTATACAAATTTAAGATTAAAAAAAGAAGTTCCTTCACTATAAATTATTCACGAGGATTTGAAAATGTTTTTTAGAGGGTGTATACTGCAAAGTGATGTATTAACATCCATAGCTTGTTCAGTCAACTGGCTGCAAAGTTTTTCATAATACAAAATAACTCTACAGACAACATGTTTCTTTAAAAGTGACAAATACCGTGTTTTGGGGGAGAAAAGTAAGGCTTCTGAAGTTGAAACGAAAATGATCCCAGATTAGGTTACTTTATAATGGACTGTTTGTCACAGCCGTAATGATTTTAAAGGCAATCTCGATCATATTGTTTAAAGTCAATTATAGCACAACCGAAGAAAAGGGCGCACGACATCTTATTGAGTTATAGAAGTTATTGCACGTTTTAAATCTTTTTGAGAAAACTAAAGAGAGTAAAGAAAAAAGATGGAGTCTGGGAGCAGCTAAAGGGGGGGGGGGGGGGTTCTCCGGAAGTACTGGACTGTTGCGGGTTTACAAGGCTGCTATAAAACACAACCACTTAAAAAGCATATACAACTTTCTCGATTCACAAATAAAACACCGCATTCATCCAAGAATATCTGCCTGCAAGCGGATGTACTGAGAGAGCAAAGGCAGCAGGTTTAAAAACTGCTCAAAGCAAATACATCTATTACATTTCATGACTTGCCATTTATGAATAACTCTTGTTATCATTGTCCAGCTATTTTGTTATGTTGATAAATGTATTTTTTGTAGCTGTCAACACTGACAAAAGGTTTTACAGCTGCAATTGTATGATGACTGATGTGAAGAAACGCTTTCAAATAAATAAAAATATCCAACTCCGTCCCATTAATGTTCTAATTTATTTGGGAAAGATGCTTGGTTTGCTCAATTCCTTTCACTGTGTACATCGTTAAATACAACATCAAGATGTGGGTTTCTGTCTGAAGGTCATTGCTTACAGTCAACAGCTCCCCCACCCAAAGTTCAGCAGGCCCCTCTAAATAAGTGAAGCGTTTTTCTTATACCGTGTACCTTTTACGCTTCAATTCCCTTGCTGTTAAATGGAACCATTTTAAAACAAGAAGTTTTTACTACTTAATTAGTTTATATTGATTATATTGGTATTTGCCTATTGCTGTTGCAGATTAATGCTTCAGGCCTACATACGGGACTTTTTTGAGTGAGATGCAGTAACCTGTTTGGCTGTAGGGGGAGCAATTACACAGAACAACTGAGGGGACCCCCATTAAGACTCCATCTCAACCAGATGGAACAATATTTAACATTTTTCTCAACATTCAGTCAGTGGCCGCAGCAGTCCAAATTATTAATTGAAAAAATGTAGTCTTGCTAATAACTGAATTAGAAAGGCATCTATTTACAATTCCATTAGCTCCTGCCTCTCTAAGTGATCAGGACAACATTGCCTTGCAATATCAGTTAGCAACTGTTTGTCGATGGACTATTTGATAGTGAAGATCACGTGAAATATGTCAACACACACCATTAGACAACATATCCAAAACATAGCAATCGAGCATCGAAAGAAACGAGTTGTGCGTGACAAAGGGTGGTTTGGACGGCGGGTGAACAGGCCTCTCCACTAGCTCTAGCTCTACAGACTATAATGTTAAAATCCAGCATTTAAGAATATTTCCAGTTTTTGTTTCGAATCAGATGGCTCGAAAACACATTTCTTCCTGAACAACAGATCACGAGGACTTGAATGTACAAAAATAAACCTGCTCAGGAACATACTATGTCTAAATAAAATAGGACAGAATTATATCCAAATAATACAGTCCTGTATTATTGAGATTATCTGATTGGGGATACAACAGGCATTTTAATTACGAAATGTTGAAGTGCACTCAACAATTAACGAACAGACCTTACTTTTTCACGACCGAAAGGCATGATTAATGGAAAATATCATAAGATATCTTTTGGTTTTGATTTTTGAACAAATAATATTAAGATACAATAGCTGTGGATAAAATAAAACAAATCATATGTTATTGTTTTTACGTGTTATTATCATTATCAGGAGCTCTAAACATTGCCATGCTTCAAAAGGTTAAATCTATTACATATGGCATTACTTTAAATCCCTCTAATTTCTGCGGTCTTCAAATATTTCTATAATACTATAAGAAATAATGTTTTTTACTTTATTCATTTAAAAATAAATATTTAAATAGACACCTTGTATTAATAATATGGTAGATAAGTACAAATAAGAGCACTTTTCTAAACATATACACACAATGACTTCTGAGAGAGCAGAGGCAGATATACCTGATGTATAGCAGGGTGAATGTGCAGACGCTGTGCTGACAGAGCTTCGCCCCTAGATGGCGACATAAACTGAGAATGGATGAAGCCCACAGAGACTGAGACCCTGCAGGCCTGTAGGCCTCACACACCACTTTAACGAATAAACTATAGACATACTAAATGTAACCATTAAATAATGTATGTGGCCAAGCTTGATCCATCAAGCATCCATGATCAAATTGGACAAAAAATATGAATGAAAAAGACAAGATCACATTGCGTCTCTCAAATATTTATTTTCAAAAAACTCTGGCTATTGCAGTCAAAAAAGGGAGAATATAGTTGCAGTCAAATAGTATTTACATGTTTAAATATGCTTAAGGTAATTACAAGCCTACTTTTCTTGACTGACAGGCTGAAATGCAGGACATTGAATACAATCCTGTGTTCAGAAATTAGTGTTTTAGAAAACCGTGTGGTCAAACTATTGAAATGCTCAGGCTTGTTTTACGAGTGATAACGCGTAATCAGATAGAGGTTTATTTAAAATGCAAAAGGCAGGGATGTATGTAAACAGTTTTTTCTTCCAAACTATGATACAAAAACAAATTGTTCATGTAGGCCTATAGGCACAAACATAAGTGTTGTAGGCTATCATTGCATATTTGATTTCTTTATTGCAAATGAATATTCTAAATATTTGTTTTTCTTTTTATGTTATTACTATGTACTTTGCATGTTTTCTTTGTGATGATCACAGACCGAAGTTGAGGTTCACCTATTTGTTTACCACCGCATAAGACGAATTGTCAAGTCTATCATGTATTCCTCTAAAGACGAATACCGTAATTGTTTCCAGTCTACATTTCTGGATTGGATATAGTAGAATTAAAAGGGCAGACTTGGGGTGTCTCAAGCCTTTAAGGGCAAATGTCATTTTGTTTGGTCAATATTTTCAGGACATCATACATCCCTCGCTGAGTCGCCCTGTCCAACATGTTGCAAACTATTTCCGATCTTCTGTCAACAGGCCGCATCGACTGGTTCCAATTAAAATGTGAGGAAGGAAATGTGTAGGTCAAAACAGAGCCGATATATGGCCACAAAGAAACCGTTCATAATGTAATAAATTATAGCAAAGTTTTTTTTTTTCTTCACCTCCTGTTTCTGTATCTCCTGAGCTAACTGGAGCTCTTGAATTTAACGACGACCTTCTTCTCCTTTACGCGCCTGTTCTGAAACCAGATTGTCACTTGTCTCTCTGTCAGGTTTGTCTGCGCGGATATCCTCCTCCTTTTGTCCTTGGTGATGAATTTATTGGCGGCGTACTCCCTTTCCAGTTCTTTAAGCTGCACCTTGGTGTAAGGCACACGCTTCTTTCTCCCACGGCGGCCAGAGCTGTCTCCACCAGATATGTTGTCTGTGGAGAGGGGAAATGATGTGTCACATTTTAATCAGCTTCTCTGCATCATAAAGTAAACGAAATATTTTTTTCTTCTTTTGTTTTTCTACAGTCAGGTGCTTTAATACATATAAGCAGTGGAATAACACAGATATAAGTAAGACAAACACGCACACCTTTTTCTAGCAAGTTTAACTGCACATCCCCATGAAAAGTACCCATTTCTGTGGTAGAAAAACAGTAAAAAAATACCTTGTAATGAAGATTTCCAAAGAGCATTTGACTGTGGCTGCTCCTTGCTGCAGTAAACCTGACCACTCCAACCATTGGTGATGGCCCAGGGCTGGTAGGGCTCCATGGGCAGCAGAGACTCATGTCTTGGCTCAGATGGAGCACTCAGCGCTGGTACGACAGGGACGTCCAAGTAGCTGGGCTGGTAAGGACCCGAGGAATAGCCCTGGTAAAACGCAAATTCCTTTGCCCTGCTGGAGAATTCCTCACCAGAGACAGCTGAGTCCATGTATTTATCGCCATAACCAGAGGGCTGCGCGCAAGGCTTCACGCCGCCGTGTGACATCCTACATGGGTAATAACTGCTGCCAAAATATCCATAAGGCAAAGATGCATTGGGCGAGCTCTGAGTGGCAGAACAGGGGCTGCATTGTTTGCCAGGCTCCCCCATGCCAGAGACTGGCACCTCACTCGCAGCGTAAGTGGTGCTCGGAGCCAGCGAGGTTGGATGCGCTAACAAATTCCTGCACTGGTTTGCAGCAAAATTGCCCCCAGTAAATCCGTCCATATTCTTGCTTCTCTCATCCAAGCCGTTGTCGTAGAGAAACATCACCGGGTCAATCCAGTGCGAATGGAGGAGTAATGAAGCGGTCATAGCATGCCCTACATCGAGACGACCAACTCTTTTTCAAAATCCCCTCGACTGAGCAGAGACAGGGACTCAGGCAGAGTAACGATACCAACACGCCTGAGTACATAAAGATCGCAAGGTTATTGGCCAGGGCCAAACACGTGATATGCAAAGGAGATGATAAACGTCTAGACATCAGATAATGCAGATCGAGTTGTAGATTTGTAAAGAAGTAATGTACATCAGTTAATGCAACAAAAAAGCCCTTAGGGTATTTTCTCCCCGAATATCATTTATTGGAATTTGAAACTGAATGTAACTCTGATGTAAATACTAAGTTGTCTGCCGTGTAGTGCCATCACAATGCGCTTAATGGATGATATGAGTGATACATGGCGTCAAAAAAACTTCTCAAAATAAGCACATCTTCTTATTGAATTCACGCGTAATTACGCATGCCATTTTGATTGCATTACGCCTTACTCTGGTGTAAAGCAAACACTATTCCGGATGAGAGGATTTCACATTATTTCATTTTATAGAAAGGTTAGAGTAGGCCTACCTTCTGTTAAAAGGTGCAGACTTTTATAAAATGCACCGTCATGTTCGTAAATTATCTGGCTTTGAAACAATGATAACGCATGCAAATTTAAAAGAAAGGAAACAACCACAATTTCTTCTGGATGTATTTAAAAAGGGAATATCATAACACTATTAATAAATCAAACAATCCTCGCATTTGGCATGGCCACGTGTTAATGTATATTCCAGAAGTGTGTCCACTAAAATACAAAAAGCATGCCACATTTGGCTGCACACTCCTCGTACGGGTTAGACGGGGCTGGAGGCCAAGGTCAAGTTGAAAGTTGCAGTCTGGCCAAAACACTTGAGGCCAGGAAGCCCAAAGAGAAAACACGCTAAAGACTTTAGAGGTTTCATCTACAGACTGTGAGTTCCTTTCTAAGACAGATCAACTGGTTCCCTTTCTTTAATGCCATCAGACGGTTGTCATAACAAAAATAAAATGTATAAGGCACAAATATATTGGCACTAAATGGTCACAATCAAAGCCTATGATGATTTGTTTTATAAATAAACTAGGTAAAAAATATCTTAAATGAAGAATAACCCGCGCTTCAACGTCTACACATTATGCGTAAAAAGCCTCCATGGGCTCTTTTTTTCCTACGAAGGACGCAGAGCTAAACACTGTCTTTCATTGGTCCATGAAGTAGACAAACATATCCAGCATGAATGTTTAGTGCAAGAATTCAAAAATTATGTTTGCTGTTCAGATTTACACTGAAACATTGAGCTGTGTGGGTTCTGAGAGACTGAACACATTGATGTCAAACTAAAACAATTTCACCTTCAGAGTTCATTTTTGTTTTACATTTCTATGGGACAACAAACGCAGAGAAATGTATACCCACCAACATTTGAGCACCTTTTTTTTATTTTAATAGAGTTTTCCCACCTTTTGGGGCTGTAAATCTTTATGGCCCAAGTTCATAGCTTGTAGGCAAGACTGAGCAGTGGACTGCATGTGAGGCAAAATCATGATGTTTAGCTTGCTATAGAGGTTTATGTTTAAATGCTTTGTTATAGTATGAGATTCTAAATATTCGTTTACTTCTAAATATGAATGTATTTAAATGGAAAATTGCCTATTTTTTTAAGTTTGTCTGTAGAAAGTGAGCTTTGTCTGGACAGGAATCATCTCAGCCACGTTGTTCACACATTAGAGGGCGGCTGTCTGACTCAACATATAGCAGCAGATGGTAGGAACTTATGAGCCAGTTAAACGAAAAAGAAGATCCATGTCTAAATTGCAAATGGATCGTGAGTTGTTGATAAAGAAGCATTTCAAAATTTCATTTAAATATGCCGTCAACACACACACTCTACCCCCTCTTTCACATACACAAAATAAACCAGAATCTTGGACGCGTATCCAAATGAAAACTGCAATATACAAAATAAAGATATTCATGTGTTAGATTGCCAAAAAAAGAATATTGTAATCAAGATGGTATTATTGAAGACGGTGGCTAAATACGAACCATCATACGCACATTGCCTCCAAGTTATATACATTTTGACACAAATGTACATCTAAAAATACTTAAATTTAAATCTGAAATATATCCAATATAACTGTTCGACCCCCTTGCATGTCAAATACATAAAAACAATAAGTTAAATCTATATGACGGCTAAACAAAGCGAGCTTAAAACAAATAACTATGCAATGTTTGTTGCTTATTGTATGTTGACAAAGGCTGCTTAGTTTTTATTAGTCAACAGTTATATAAAACGCAATATCTACATTTCTTTTTTGCAATATCGCACACACCCAGTAGGCTTTATAGCCCCACGGATTTTCCAATAGGCTACCTTTTACTTCGAATGCAAAAAAAGTGTAAATTCGCTTCGTTGCAACAGACGCGAATATGAATTAAGGACAAGCTAGTACAAAAAGTATTCAGCGGTAAGACACAACACCCGTATTTTGTCTATGTGTTTACTTTTCGACTGAATGCATGCATCCTTTTCCTGATGTATGTTGGCGACTGTAGTGTAAAACGCCATGTTATCACAAGCACCAAAATGCACATAGTCCAAATCTGTCAATCAAATGTGTAGAAACACACATTGACTAAATGCAAAGCTTATTTGCGTTAAAGAGGCTACGCTAATCACGAGGAATGACGCGCGTACAGCAGCAGATGATGTCAGGCTGTGTGTGTGTGTCACAGTCTGCTGGAGGCCCGAGACGAATGTGTGCTCTGTTTGCTGTACCTATCAAGCAGATGACAACACAGCTCTTAACATACAGTGCTTAATGGACTTTTTATGGGTTTGTCTTGTGATCGCATGACCTATGGCACCTTGGCCCCTCAGTGGCTCTTGACGAACTAGATCAGAAACATGCCGCCCTCCTGGTCTGGTCTAAGTGGGGATAGAAATGCGGTCCACATCCCAAAATCACTCATGCTGGCTGCATCGTGCAACACTCGGTCACGACTTCGTTTCAAAGCTTTGGAATACTGTCTATTCAAATCTTCATTTGAGAGATATGTGTGCTGGGTAATTAAATACGAAGTTCAAAAGTGGTTGCTTCCTTTTAGTGTGGAACAATACTCAGTTTTGGCAGCGTGTTTTTCGGTCCAGCGATACACATCCCGCCGCTGCATCTGCCCGCAGCCAGCCGCTGTTCGCCTTTTATCATGACTACTGAATCCGTGGGACACACTACTCAAACCAGAATATTTGGGAGCTTTAAACTCACTTATGCTCAGAGAAACTGAGGAAACACTGAAGTGCATGATCTCAAAGAAAACATTCAGAATTTAAATTGCCATGCCATTGGTCAGAATTAGTAGGCTATCCTTCTTCCTCTGTCTGAGGTTTAGCTGCATTTGCATGCAAGTTTATGGACTGGATATATTCAGTCATTGAAGCTGTGTTCATGAAAAGCTACTCCGTTTGCAGTTCCAACAAAACTAAAATGTATGGCATTTCTACAACAAATCAGTAATTACTGAAAAAATGTGCTGCTTCCAGTTGTTATACAATAATCTGCTCATATTTCAGTTCAATTTAACATCCAATCCAGCAATCATAACATGAATGACATTTAAAAGGACATGGCTAAATGGTTAAGACATCACAATTTGCCTTTATTTTCTAACAGGATATAATATAACACTTTTACCCCAAAGTAACATTTCCAATGTCAAGAGCAGAAACGCCCCATAAACAAACAAAAACAGCAACATGAAGAAATGATCACGAACAATTGATAAATACAAGAAGACTAAACCGGGATGCAGAAGTTTAACGTTGACAGAGCTATAATGAGTTTTTATTCGTCACACTCAGGTTCCCAGGGGAGTCTGTGCATTAAGAGAAAGATCTGCAGAGCTGCCGCTGCTCGACAGTCTGCTATGTTTTGGGTCCTCTGTATAAATGACAGTTGACTTGCTTCTAAAACTGAAAGGAGTGTAGTATATTAAAAAAGCTAGATCACACAGGAAACATGATTTTCAAGAGGAGAGAAGTGCTCACATGATCTGCTGTGTTGGAGCTCTCTTTGCTTAATTTCTCACAATTTTGAAAGAGAAAGTCCTCGGGGCGAAATGCACCCTCACTACGCTATGTTAGTCCTGTGCAGGGCCAGGCCAGGCAGGGCTGTGGACGGGGGGGGAGGCTGACATTACTGGCCCTGGCCCTGGCCCTCCTCCTCTTCCTCACGCAGGAACTGGAATACAGAGGAGAAATCTTTATTGGCATAACCGCGTGCGCACATCATACGATACATCTGATGGGCTAAGGAGCCGAGAGGAACAGGCGTCTTCGTGTTGGTGGCTGTGTTCTGTGCAAGGCCTAGATCCTGAGAAAGAAAAGAAAACATACATTAGAAGAACCAACGGAGCTGAAAATTAAACTCTAAACCCAAAACCACAGTCCATACACCACAGAGAATATTTCTCTATGTTGTGATAATATGGGCTTGATTCACTTTTAGGAGGGCTGTGAGTAGTTCACTGCATCATTTCAAGTGGTTTGACCTAGGATAGAGCTTTGTTTTTTTAACAGCCTCCCTTAAATCCCTGTCACATGCACGGCATATGGCACAGAAATTACTTCCCGACAGACTTATTCTAACCCGGTTTCATTCATAGAGAGTCATGAATGAGAAAAACGTTTGTTTTACAAATTATGAATGCATTTGTGTATATTTTTGTTCTGAAATTATAAGGGCTTATAGAGATAAACAGTTTCTCTACACAAATGAAAAATAGCAATACACTTATTAAGGCATAAATATAATGTATTGCTTGATATTTGCGATGTAAAAACCTTAAGATGAAATGTCATGGTAACACTAATGTTAAATGTATTTGCAGGGTCAGGAAAGTAGCACAGTATAGTGCGATGTGTCGTTAAACTGACCTTAGCCATCAGCTGGGTGCCGAAGCCTCCCTGGTAGTTATTCCCAGACGGGACCCCCTCCATGA